GAAATATATTTATGTTTGTGGTTGTAATGTGACAAAATATGGAAAAGTTCAAGGGGTATGAATACTTTTGCAAACCACTGTATTAAAAAATAAACTGACGTGTTCAGAGGTTGAGGCTTAAAACAACGACAAGATATTTGCTAATGTTAGTTAGATAATAGAATCTAATTCAAGTTATAAATTCCTGCTCTAATAATGCAGGAGCAAATTCTGAGTTGAGTCTAATCAGAACCGGCTGACTAAATGATTTTATCAAACAGTAAAAGCATCTAGAACCACACAAAGCCCACCTTTGGTCTTCAGGTTGACAGTGACCCCCTCGGACCTCTGGGTGAGTGTCGCAGGCGTAGAGGGGTCGGGGGTCCTCCTTCCAGCGTACACACTCACCACGCACCGATACACCCCTGAGTCGGAGGGCCGGGCCGAGAAGAGCTTCAGAGAGTACGACCTCTCTGTAACTTTCTCCATGGAGCCCCCGCTGGCTCTGCTGAGGTCGTCCCCCCAGCTCACAATACCGTCTGGACTCATCCGGGCCACCTCAACCTTAACACAGAACAGCATGTCAGTGTCAGACTGTAATCTGATAAAAAAAAATCCTCTGAGACTCAATTATTTTACAAACGAAACAAAGCAAAAACCGTCCTACCTCCACCCCTCCCCCCACTGCATCGCTGCTCACAGACCCTCTTTTCATCCACTTCACCAGCAGACCTGAGTTCACCTCAGACGGCAGCCCCAACACCTGACAGGTCAGGATGAGAGGAGACCCAATCTGGAGGGTCACCTCCCCCGTGGGYGAGGACGTTACGCTCAGAGACTCCGCTGCAAAGAGGAAGACATAAAACGGATCGATCGCTTTGTCCAACATGATGTACCAGAACCTCTTCCAGGTGCAACAAAAGGGGTGGGGGGGATTACTTGACAACAGCAATGTTTTTAAAAAGTTATAAACATGTCAGTCTGTCGGAAAGAAAGATATTCTCATTGCAGGCTACAAGAAGACACGGTGGGAATAAAGGTGATATAATCCTTCAGGTTTATTGAATGACCTGAGGCTGTTTTCTGACCACACAGCTGGACGACTGTCGACTTATTAAATCCAGCTGGATCAGCAACAAGAGGCCGGCATGTTTAGTCTGTCAGTCAAACACTGCACTGAACAGACAGATTTACACACTATGAACTCAAAATATTTACACAACTGTCGTTTTATGAAGATAACAGAAGAAAACGCTTTTTGTCTTGGTTTTGGAAATAAAAACTTTGYTGTATTTTGTCAAAAACATGTGTAACCCTTGGTGTTAAGATACTATCAGATTTTTGCTATTACTATTTTTGACAAATAATTAAAACAGAAGATTTTGTGTCGTAACCCTCAACAAATTCTTATTCATAAGATTTAATTAGTGCACATTTAACAGTTAAAAGACATGTAAGGTGAAAACAAGATTTCAATATCAGCTCATCGCTGACAGCTTGGTGGGAGTTTCTGAAAATGACAAAATCTTCACTAATCCCATGTAGACGAACACCCATCTGGAACAATCCTGACAWACTACAACAAAATAATATGTTAGACTTCCCAGATTGGAGAGGTAAAGGAATTGAATACCTAGAACATATATATGAAGGTGTAGACTTTATTCCATTCAATATACTAACAATACAATGTAGTTGATTGATTTAAAYGGACACTCATGAAAACAGCTAGCTAAAAGATCAATCAAGCTGTTAAATGTTGAGTTTAACATTTTAATGGCAAACATCCAGAGGCTGAACYTCTGGAAGGAGTCCAGTATTCTCAGTGGCACCACAGGTCCAGACAGAATTACAACACTTCTCTGGCAGCAACATGAAACATGACCTGTTCTCTGTTTACATTCATCGTTGTTTTAAACTATTTCTGACCCATGACTGATTCTCTCCAGGTTGCAGATTGTATTTTTTTATTAAACTCTATCCACAATTTTTCTCATCTCAAAATCAATTCAGTTTATTTCTAAAGTACTTTTAAAAAATGCTGCACAAAAAAAATCATCTCTGCAAGCATGATTAATAAAATGGCAGTTTTAATAAATAAATCAGCAGCTCACTTTATTCTTCTATATTAATATTGAAACTGCTTTTCAGTCAGTTTCATTTTAAAGGGATCCCTGATTAGTTGTAACATTAGACTTTATTTGATAAACATGTATTTTAACTGTAAAATAAAGACTGTAAAAATACTGTAGGCTGTTTAGTTTTGTAATTTTTAAAAAATATATTTTAACACAGACGGCGCCATTTTATTAACACACAAAGCATTCTGGGTAAATGATGACATGGATAGGTCCTCTGTGCGAGGCTACTAGTG